AAACAAAATTAAAGAAGCAAAAAGAAAGATAAAAAATAAAACATGTGGCTTCCAATAAAAAAGAAAAAGTCTCATATAAATCAAGATCAATCTCTTAAAGAGTTGAATGTGGAAATGAACAATCAAATAAATTAATTAAAAAATTTAGTGCATAAATTCAAGAATGAGTTCATTTTGCCTAAATTTATATTACCATGACCTTAATACCTCAAGAGTGTGTGTAGGATAATGATTTGATAGAATTTTTAAAAATTATTCAAACATATGATAAAAATTATCTATACTTGTTGATTGAGTGAATATTTTTCATTTGAGTGAATTGGTCAAAAGAGAAAAAAAGTTGAATAGATAAGATGCATGAATAATTTTTTTGAGTTATCTATTTAGAGGTATGAGAATAGAAGTGGGTATTGAACAAGGCAAAGAGATATATGGGTAAATAGCATCAACTTGGAATTAACAATGAACAGGTAAATTCTTGTTTTTCTTAAAATCTCATTTTTCAAGCCTTTTCCGTTAGGATGAAAAGGTTCAACTTGAATATTGTGATGAAAGTGCCACACACTGTGTTTTAAGTTGTTAATTTCGCTATTTTATGTACTTTTATTGTCAATGCATTTCCCTTATGTAGGTTTTCAATAAAGATTCTGCATATTCATAAAAAAGAACAAACCAACTTGAAATCGTCCTGACCAAATATCCTTTATTTATATTTTATTATGAAGGTTGTTCAGTGATGAGGATGATGAGGAATCAGAGTGACTTTCTCTTTATTTTCCTTGTTTTCTTTAGCCTTTTTCCCGCTTTTTGTACTTGAATTCTATTTTCTAATTAATGAAGTGTTTTTGAATTTTTTAAATGGTTATGTATGATTTGGTGATCTATGTGCTTGAATATTTGTCATATTTGTTCATAGTTTTTCCAACCTTTTTTATAACGCCAAAAAAGGGAGAAGTATATTTTTAGGGAAAGTAAGGTATACTCTCAATTTTTATCAGTGGGAGTTTAACCACTCCAATCTATCAGCTTGGTTTTTCTTTTGTCCATCTTCCTAAGAGATGTTTTGTCATTATCAAAAAGGAAGAGAATTTGGATCAATGTACTTGTAAATAAATATGATGCCTACAACAATCTATTTGGTTTTGATGATGACAACACTCTAAAGTAAAGTGTTCATCAAAAGTGTTGATCAAGTCCATCTGATCTTGATGATGACAAAAAAATAAGGTGAAGTCATCATCTAATGCAGTAATCAAATGTGATGCTTGAAGATCAAGATATCAAAGTTCATCTTTAGAAGACAACACCTAATAATAAGCAGTGTTTGGTGGATTCAATGAAAATCTCTTATCAAATTGCGTGTATGATGATGGTGCCTAGCATGAAGAGTTATCTCAAGCCTCATCAGAGAGAAGATTCAAGGTCTCAGTGAAGTGCTAAAGTCAAAGATAATATAAGAATCTTGGAGCTTCAAAGTTGTGAAAGAGGTGAAATGTGAAAGCATGTCATGTCTATGTTGAACGATCTATTTCTCTTAAGATATAAAATTAATTCTCAAATTTACTAATAGCAATCACACGCACACACACACACACACACACACACACACACACACACACGCGCGCGCGCGCGCGCGCGCACACACACACACACACACACATGCACACACATATACAAACACACACACACACACACACGCGCGCGCGCGCGCGCACACATACACACACACACACAAATGATTAGAAAGCCTTTCTTATTTTATTAAATACATGAAAAAAATATTTTTTTTCCTAGCTAATATATTAAAGGCTCATTCTAATTAATTAGAAGATTTTTTTTACATGAAGTAATCTATTAACCCATTAGGGTTAATCAATTATCAACCTTGCAACTATAATAATCGATTGTTAGGTCTCTTAATATACTAGAGATGGTGGCTTTTTAAAACCTTCATTTTTATATTACATAATCGATTATCCCCGTGGCATAATCAATTATGAGCTTTAAAAGGCCTATGAATCCTTTCCTTTTCGAGCCCTATATTTTCCTATTAATATAAAGCTTCCTCCCATTTCATTTCACACTAGAAAAATGTATTCTAATACCTTTCTATGACTCTCTTTTCTTTTCTTTTATTTCCTCACTTTTGCCTTAGTGCTCTTGAGTAAATTCTTTTATCTATGAGGTGTTTAGATCTAGTGTAAAGGTATTATTGTAATATCTCCCTCGTGAGAAATTTGTTTTGGTTGTGAGGTAAACCAACTAAGAAACTCTTATTTGGTTGTTGAGGTGAGCCTGATAAAATCTTTGTTTGGTTGAGAGGTCTCTATGAGTAAAACTCTTGTTTGATTCATGAGCTTAGTTTGGTGTTAAAAACTCTTAGTATGTTCGAAATTATCGTGGTGGTAAACTCTCTTGGTTGGTAGGTCTCCGTAGTTAAAACTCTCATGTTTGGCTGGGAGGAAAGCCATATGAAAACTACAATCCTTTTGTAAGGTTCGTGGGCAAAACCTGTCAAAAGCTCACATCATAGTGGAACTTCTGAAAAAGAAATTCTTGAGAAGAAAAATAAGCTAAGTCATTGGGCTGAACTTCTATAAATCTCTGGTGCATCTTTATGTTCCCTTATCTTTTTACTTTTCTATTATTTACTTTCGATGCACTTCTTTCTGTCTAATTTTCTTTATTCCACTGCTTATCTTTCGTTTGTTTTATAAAGTTGTTTTAAACTTTGATTTTATCAAAGATTTTATTCATACATTGTTTTTCAAACCCACATGATTCATCTCATTTCTCTTGTGTTTGGAATCACGTGTCTAATAAAATTATTAATAATTAACTGTTACTATTATATTTACACTATTATCAGAACAACCTTGAACCTCCAACTCCTAATTCAAATTAGTTCACTTATCCCTCTCACCCTAAATAGTATTGATATTAACACCCACAAATAAGTTTTTTTATAGAACTCCATTTTAAGACTAAAATTAATCTCAAAATACTATAAATTATAGCCTTAATGGATATAATATTGGATCAAATCTCTCTCCCTTTCCCTTTAATAATAAACAAAGTATCATCAACAATTGAATTTGTCTCCCACCGAAAACCTTTTAAAACAATCCATCCAGGAAGATAAAATACTGCATTCAAACCTTTTATAGCTAAGAAAGAAAGAAATACAAAAGGGGATTATGAGTCTCATTGTCCTACGCCACACTTCAAAAAGAAAATTCCTTTGTAGACCTCCCATTTACTAATCCAGAAACCGAAGTTGTACTAACACATTTTATGATTTATTTATTAAAAGCAAATAAAAAAAAATCTTACTATTATAATCTTCCTAAGTGTTTTAAAATTCATAAAATATTATGTAAAAAAGCATCTCTTAAAATCTTAGTTCAGACCTTGCATTATTTACATCTTGACTTATTTTCTCCTGTTACTATTATAAATAAATAAATAAAAACCTTAAATCTTGGTCATTATTATAATAAATGTTATTAATTTTTAAATTAAGTAATTCTTACATTACTATTATATCTTTAAGTTAATTCAAAAGTATTTAATGTTAGTTTATTCATAAAATACAACTAAGAATATTTTAATAAATTTTTCTTTGATTATACATGAAATCAAAAAAATTAATTATATATAACTAATTTTTTTAATCAGTGTAAAAACAGTTATTTTTACTTATAATTATATTTGAAGAGAGTACATCTTACACGGTTACACATCAAATATAAACTTTTATACTAAATTATTATTTTTTTGTGTGAAATAATATAAAAATAAAAAGTTTGTACTAAAAAAATTTATTCCATTTATAGATCTTTAATACAATATTCTTAAAAATGCTCTTATTCCTCAACTTCAAGGATTGAGATGAATGAAAAAAAAAAGTAAGATTAAGTTTTATAATAAGTAGAAATATTTTATAAAGCTCCTTATCTATAATAATAATAATAATAATAATAATAATAATAATAATAATAATAATAATAATAATAATAATAATAATAATAATAATAATAATAATAATAATAATAATAATAATAATAATAATAATAATTATTATTATTATTATTATTATTATTATTATTATTATTATTATTATTATTATTATTATTATTATTATTATTATTATTATTATTATTATTATTATTATTATTATTATTATTATTATTATTATTATTATTATTATTATTATTAGGCAAAATATTCTTTTTGGTCCCTTAACTATACCTCGGGGTTCATTTTGGTCCCTTAACTTTAAAAAGTTCCATATTGGTCTCTTAACTCTTCAAACGTTCCATATTAGTCATTTTTGACCTATTAGCAACGGAAAAAAATTAAAAAACCGTCGCTAAATCCGTCGCTAATAGGTCAAAAAAGACTAATATGGAACATTTGAAGAGTTAAGGGACCAATATGAAACGTTTTAAAGTTAAGGGATCAAAATGAACCCCGAGGTATAGTTAAGGGACCAAGAAGAATATTTTGCCTTATTATTATTATTATTATTATTATTATTATTATTATTATTATTATTATTATTATTATTTAACCTTTACATGTATGTGTCATTTTCAACCAAAAAAAATCAATTTTACTGAAACATTTAAGACAACAAACAGCTGGAAGACCTACAACTTTATTAATTAAAGTAACAACAAAACAAAAGTCTAAAAAAAATAAACCTGAATAGATTTTAATTCCAAAGTCTTATCAATGACCCTTTGAATTATCAAAGTGTCAACCATATTCCAGTTAGTCGGTTACAAAAAATTCCTTCATTCATTTTTTTCTCATTGTCTTTCTCTCTTCACCTTCCAATATAAATACATTACATCTTAAGAATCGTTTTCCATTCATCATTTTTATCAAACTCCTAACTCTCTCACTCATCCTTATTTTATTTTTCTATCACCTCATAAAAACTATATACTAAATTCTCATAATTTATATATAGATTGTGAAAGCTGAACCAAACTATGGCTGATGATGATCAATTTCATCATACAAGTGGAAACTGGTGGGAATCAGCATCAAGAAACATGAGATTTGATCAAAGTGGTGGAACATCACAACAATCTTCTTCTTCTGCTATCACCAACAATAATATAGTTGATTTTGGTTGGCAAAATTCAGATATGGTTGAGATGAAACCAAGATCTTCCATGGATAATTCTTCTGTGGTTTTTCATGATACTCGGAAACTCGAACAAAATCAAGATTCTTCTAATTCTTCTGACCCTAACTTGCATATGATGGGTTTGGGACTTTCTTCTCATTCCATGGATTGGAATCAACCATCTTTGATGTAAGTGAAATTTTTAGTTTTTTAATATAATAATTAACTATTTACGAAAAATATTTCAAAACTTCTCTAAAAAAAATTGAACTTTCATTTTCTCTCTATGTAGTATGGTGTTGCAACTATGAAACGATTAGATTTAGAGAGAAAAATCTCTATCTCGAAACTGAACTATTAGATTTAAACGGAAAATTTTTCTCCTTCGAAATCCAAATGTTCGATTTAAAAATAAAATTTTCATCTTTTAATCTAATTGTTTCTCAAATTGTATTTCCATACTCAAATAGGTTTAAATATTGCAGTTACAGTCGCAGATGCAGTTTTGCTGTAAATTTTTATATTGCGGTAAAATGTGTGTTAGTTCAAAATCTTAGATGAATTAGTAGAAATTAATCTTCATGAACTCTAAATTTCTGACATTTTTTGTGTTTGTTTGATGGTGATATAGAAGAGGCGATGAAAAGGGAACAGAAAACAGTTTCAGGTCAATATTGGAAGAGAATTTGAGTTCAACAAGGAACAATTTCGAGCAAGAAAATGTGATGGGAATGTGTCAACAAGTGAATAGAAATTTTTCTTTGGATCAAAACCAGTTTAGTCCTCAATATAGTTCTGGAGACAGCAATGTTATTCAAATGGATTCTTCAGCTTTATATGGAACTCCATCAATTTTACAAGGCTCATCCATGACTAGTTTTCCTTATCCAACAAATAACTATGGATTATTAAACTCTAATAATGAGTTGAATATGAACATGCCTTGTAATAATTGGTCTAATAATAAAGCTCCTCAGTTTTTGATGAGAACTTCACCTCCAAAACAATCATCAACAAGTAACCAGTTGCATTTTACTAATAACACCCCTTTTTGGAATGCTTCCGAGGCTCCGAATTCTATTAAAGATGTTAGGTCAAGTTTCTTTCCCTCTTTGCAACCTCAATTCTCCACGCCAAATTTTGATTCACACTCGAAGGTATTACACTAATACATTTCATTAATATTAGTTGATTATGTTAGTTTTTAGAGTTTTTCTTTTAATTACGAACTTCTTGGTCATAGTTTTAAATTGCGAATATACAATCGTGGATGCGGTTGTAGGTTTGCAATTGTTGTCGTTGTGATGCGCATTGCAGTTGTTCCGGTGTGAATTGAGAGATATTTGAAATAGATATTTAACAGATAGTTAAGATTTTTTCATTATAGGAAAGTTAGGATTTGAAATTATAAAATTTAAATTTTTGGTGAAAAAAATTGTAAAAACATTGTTGAAATTCTATAATGTGGTTCCTTAAACAACTAGACCGTGTGATTACAATTGCAGTCTCATGCGGTTGCCGAGGCAACTGCATTTGCAATATTAGAGCTGCAATTGCAGTTGTCGACTGCAATTTAAAATCATGCACCAGATTAGTATTCTTTTGGCGTTTGTTCAAGTCACCAACTAAGTTGATAACAATGTAAAATCGCAAATAACAAACACGATATTTGTTTACACAGTTTAATCTTCTGCATCTATATATGCGACTAATGATTCGGCTAAATGAATTAAAAAAGAGAGAATAATTTTGCAGAATATTAGTGAAGTGAATACTGTGGTGAAGAAAAGTGGGAGTGAGCCAGCACCCAAAAGGACTCGTAACGAAACTCCATCAACTTTGCCAGCTTTTAAGGTACAATAAGTGCAACTAACCTTTTAACAATAAGGGAAAGCTCTTTAACATTTTTTTTTTATGTATCTTTTTCTTTTTTCCTTTTGTTTCTTTTTTTCTTTCAGTTCATAAACACTTTGATATATCAAATTTATCAAAATGTATTTCAAAACTTTCTTGCCTCTTAGGTCAGAAAAGAAAAGATGGGAGACAGAATCACTGCACTCCAACAATTAGTGTCTCCTTTTGGAAAGGTTGGTTAATCAAATTATTCTAAGTGAAAATTCTTGATCATTTTTTTAATATATGAAATATTATTATATGGTTTAATTTTATTGATAAAAATTTTAAAATGTGTTATTTTTGTCAGACTGATACAGCCTCAGTGCTTTCTGAAGCCATTGAATACATCAAATTTCTCCATGAACAGGTTACAGTAAGTTTCATTACCCATTAGTATAATCTTAATTTTTTTTATATAACTAAAAAGTAAGTGCTAATTTATGCTGGCTAGTAGCCTTTATAAAATATCATTGATCAAATTTATTTTTGATTTTTGAAATCACTAAATTGTAACCCTAATACCAATAAACTTGATAACATAATATTTTATGGGATTAAAAACTTATTTAACTCAATAATTAAATTTTCATCTGATGTATTAATTTGTGCTGTGTTTTTGTTTTTACCAAACAGCTTTTGAGCACCCCATATATGAAAAGTGGAGCTCCATCAGATATTCAACAGGTAGAATAAAATTTCTTCATACATAGAAATTTATTATTATTATTGTTATTATTATAAAATTTCATCATACATAAGACATTATATAACAATTCCAGTTGCAGTTGCAGAATATAATTTTCTAACCCTAATTGTGTTATTAAGCTTTTTAAACATTTATTAATGCAGAATTCGGGTAAATCAAAAAAATCCGACGGCGCAAAGCAAGATCTAAGAAGTCGTGGTCTATGTTTGGTACCAATTTCAAGCACATTTCCAGTGACTCATGAAACAACGGTTGATTTTTGGACACCAACATTTGGAGGAACATCAAGATAATTAATGAAACCAATACCCTACAACTAGGGCATGGTTGTATGTTCCTTATCAAACCTAGCCAAGTTGGGAATGATAAGATAGAAGAAAAGATAAGAAACATGAAAAAAGACAAAGAATGCCCACTTAAATGTGTAAAGTTAGTTAGCTCTGATGAGGGAAATGGGAAAAGAGAGAGTGGGGAAAGGAAAATTTTTAGTTAAAAGAGAAAGAAAAAGAAGTGACTCTTCAAAAGATAGTTATTGATGGGCCAACTACATTTAGAACTATTTAGGGTTTGGAAAACATTTGGGACCATTTAGAGTTGAAATAATTGAAGTGTTATGCTTACAAGTTTGAGATTAGGAATGGGAAAGATGATTAAAATAGAGAAAGTTCTAATTTTTTTTAGAGTTAACAGGAGAAAAAAAAATGAATAGATTTTTCTACGGCGACTACAAAGTTATTGGATCAATATCTAAATTTATTCAGAATTTGATCCAAAAACTTTACAGTCATTGCATTTGTGTATCAGTTGTATTACATTAGTTTTTTAAATTTAAAACCTTTGTCATTAAATATTTTTATTATGTTGTAAGCTTTTTTACAAACTAATTTTATAAATCAATTCTTGTTTTGTTGTTATTTGATTCTCTTTCATTTGCAACGTATTTCTAATATATGTTGGTTTATTATTGTAAAATATTATATATATAAAATAGAAATTTTAAGTGATGACACAAAGAAAATGTGTTGTTAGATTTTTTTTTAAAGATGTATAGTTGGAAGAAAATAAAGGAGATGCTTTAGTTTTATAATGAATATATTGTGAATAGAGAGTTGGCACTAACTTTAGTTAAAAAAAAAAAAAAAATTAATTTGAGGGAATCATTGAAGTATAGAAATATTGTAGAAGGAGTAAGTGAAGGGATACTTCATTTGATAGGAAATCTCACTTTTGATTTGTTTATATCATTGGAATAAGTAAGTGGAAGTCAGATGGGGGTCCACACATTCTCACTTTAAAATTTTAACATTTTTTTCAATTAAAATGTCTATTATTTTGTACAAGGATTTAATAATAAAAAAGATATTTATATATTTTTTAGATGCTTTTCCACATGCTTTATGCTTTATACCGAATGGCCACACATAGGGGCTTCTATTGGAAGTATGTGTATAAAGAAGAAAAATATTAATCATCAATATTTATATTATATCTATAATATTTTTTCGAAGAGGACACTATGGTCCTAGTTTTGAATAAAGTATATGCCCGTCATTATCAATTTTGTTTTACTTTCTAAAACAAATGAAGACTCTATGAGAAAATCATATAAACCTATATAAAAAATATGTCTATGCTTAGGTTTAAAGAAAGTATATTTTCTACTTCTAGGATTATCATTAAAAGGTAATAATTACTTTAAGAAAAAGCAAAGATTAATTTTTATCAGATACAGATAAAAATAGATTAGGCTTACATGTGTTTCGTCAAATTTATTTCTGATAGTTTTTTAAAATTGGAAAGGAGAATAAATTGTGCTGAAAACAAATTACAAGATTAATGTAATTTGAGACATTTTATAGAACTTTTTTATCCATTATAAAAATACAACACCATTCTACTCTTTAAACCTGAAGCAATTCAATTTCAAAATAAAACATTTATATAAACACAAGTGTTTTCAATATTCAAATTTGCACTATTAAAAATGATATTATTTCTTAGAAGCTATCACTATGCCAAAAATGGCCTTTAGCAGCGCTTTTTTTGACCTTTAGCAGCGCTTTAAAGCGCTGCCTAAAGTGGCGCTGCTAAAGGTAAAGGCAGCGTTTTTTTTTGTGGAAAAAGCGCTGCTAAAGGCATCCCTTTTAGCAGCGCTTTTTTACCCCTTTAGCAGCGCTTTCAAAGCGCTGCCTATTCTCCCTCCCCCTCCCCCCCTGTAGCAGCGCTTTATGAAAGCGCTTTTGTAGACCACCCTTTAGCAGCGCTTTTTTAAAGCGCTTTCTTAGACTCCTCCTTTCCTAACCTATAACAGCGCTTTTTTATGCCTATTTTTCTCCCTTTAGCAGCGCTTTCTTGTAAAAGCGCTGTCTATACTTCACGTTTTTAATTTTTTTTTTTGTAAAATCACATTTTTTATATATTTTTAGACAAACCTGCTTATAACAATTAAATTCCCTGCTTATAATTCAGGCTTTAAACATAACTTGGCCTTTAAACATTGTAATTCAACACTTGGCCTTTAATTCAACACAATATAACTAAACATTGTACATTATACAATAACACTTTGCAATTTACACATAATTAACTCAAGTATAATTTACACATAATTTAAACATTGTACATTATACAATATACAATATACAATATACAATATACAATTTACACATAATTACAAATCCAATATACATTATAGAATTCTTAACTCAATCATAAATTGACACCATTCTTCCTTAATTTCTTCCAATTTTACTTTCGAGTACGTAGCGCATCTGAATTCATCAAAATACTACATAATATAACAGAACAAGCACGATTTAATACTAATTACTCAGATGAAATATTAGTTAATTATCAAAATGAATCATATAACTCATGAATTGATCCATACCATGATTGGAATCTCTAATTGACCAGAAAGAATGATTTCCTTCATAAAGCGCAGTACAAAATATCCGCAGTCAATCCCACCACGCTGACGAGGATACTGTATTAGGAAAAAAGCGAACGAACATTTATCAGGATATATAGTTTAAATAGTTTTATAAGTAGAACCGCTATAACAGTCAAACATGGGAAAATATACCTCCACTCTGATCCAGTTGATGTTGCTAGCCCTGCTTTTTGGCACTGTTGCATCTCTCTGTGCTCTGTATATTTGTATAACTCTAACATAATATAAACACATATTTAGAACAATGTCACATAATAAATAAACATATATAATTATTCAGAACACTATACATCATCACTTACGTATCAACCATGTTCTTCAGATTTTCATATTTGTTTGTATCGCCATCCAATGAATCTATATAATACACTATTTCTTTAATTGGATTAATTGCGACCAACAACCAGTGACCACTATAAAATAAGACAACAGTTTAGACGGAAATGTTATATAATATGGCAAAAATCGAACAATTATAATAAATGAATTTAGAATAAAAACTAACCCATGGCCAGTATTATATGGCAACATAAACAACTTCTCCGTATTCGCACCCATAAATCTCTGGACTGTGTACTCTTTGACTGCTTCTGGTGTCTGGTCTATTGTCCGTGAGTTGACACTGCTAGCAGATAAGAATGCGAATACTGAAGTCAAATCAGCGGGGACCAACAACTTGTCATACAAGCGCCTAAAAAAAATATAATCAACATTAGATTATTCAGTTAAACGAGCGAATTTTAAAATGTTCAATTATCTAATTAAAATGGATCGAAGTACCTGATGTAGGAATGCATAACCCCGACGCCCAATTCTAAATGTTTGAAAACCTGGTCGAAATCCTCCTTAGCAAGTGTTTCGGAATATTCAAAACCGAAAATACCTTGATCCATATGTATTAGACGGATGCCGCCCTCAGGCACGTCTGTTGTCCCTACATATGTTTGAAGGCACGACCTAAATTGAGGAACAAATGCTCTTTTTGTCTCAACCTTTTTTTTGGGCACCTTGGAAGTTTCAGGCATGTTTCCCTTGCTGACTTGTTGCGACTGCTGATCAAGAACCTAAAAGTCATATATAAGGTCAGTAAATAATTTATAATAAAATAATCACTTAAACTGTAGTACTAGTACCTGTAACTTTGATGCAGCTGAATCGGTATCCCGCACAATAATTTTATCATCTTTTGTTTTGGATTTTGTGGGAGTCTAAGATCATCATGTCAATAAGAAAGTGTAAATGTCAGAATAACTTTCATGTATGGGTAATAAAACATTGGAATATTACAAGGTTCAACCTACCTCATCATCCATGAAAATGAGATTCGTCGGCCATGCTACATAAGCTCCTATCACGTCTCCCACCACTGTTGCGTCTGATACATCGTCTGGCATAGGCAACAACGCCCCCCCCCCCTCTAATGCAATATCAACAAATACTTTCAAAAATCCAGCAGGGAGGGGTTTATGGTGAAGTAAGTCTTCCAGGGTGTTATGCACCTTTCCCTTGCCAACCATGCGATAAGTCGGCGACGATAAATATAGTCGACAAGGTGAAATGCCCTAAACAAATAATGATCAGTTAATGTGTCAATTAAGAAAAATGTGCTAAATTAATTTCAATGTAATATATACAATTACCTCTGGAAGCTTCTGCGGACAACCGATACTATCTTTGTCACTAGTAGCTTTACCGGCCTCTGGAGCGCGCCTTTCGGACATGTATCTCTCCTTATCCTTCTGTAATTCACGAATTTGAGCTTTCATTTCCTCCAAAGTAGCCATCACTTCTTTATTGGTTGGATTTTTTTTCCTTGGCTGCTTATACAGTTTGGATGGAGTGACACCAAATCCCTTGCCCCTCACACGCCCAGAGTACTCAGGAATATTCAACACCCGACTCAATAAACTCCTGCAATCATCGTCTTCAGCAGGAGTTATAGTCTGGGATAGGGACTCCTGAAATATAGATAAAAGCATATTTAAATATTTTATACACTTTGTTCAAAAACTAATGTTTTACTTACACATTGTTCAAACACTTGTTGAACTTCTTCTTGGACGACTCCATCTCTTCCCACCCGGGCAGCCTTCCATACGACATGGTCCGGAAGAGATGTCGCATCACTTTTCTCCTCTTCCAACTATGCATTAAGACGAACAATAAAGCATTATATCCTATTATGTATACTTACTATTTTTTGTAAATAGATCATATTAAAGCATATATATGCACTTACTAATTTTTGTTCTAAGCGTGCATATCCCAAACGCCCCTTTCTATATGGATACGCAGGGTTTGATGCCCGTTCCCGATTTACGCCACTCTTAACCTGAAAAA